CACCTATAATCCCAGAATATGGGAGACTAAGGCAGAAAGATCTGACCTGTGCAAGGAGATGCTGCCTCTAAAAATCTATCTATATCTCTATGTGTGTGATATATTACACATATGTATTGTTATCATGTATCGATTACATACAAGTGCCTTAGAATAAGCTGGAATTAAAGGTTGTTTCTTTCTCTGACCAGGCAATAAGATTAAAATTTCAGCACATTGAAAACAGAATGAAATTAGTATCATCAACATTCATCTATTATAAATGTTTTTAGTTTTGTACTAAAGGTGGAATTTTTCTGAATGTAACAGATATGTTTTGGTAATTCTGGGCGACCAGATGACCAGACAAGTATTTCAAAAATGTCTTATTTCTGGGAGGGAAATCAGAGGCTTATGTTGAAATCAGGTCACAACCACCCACTTGTCCCATACAGGAAGGTAAGGGAAAAACTCTTTTTGTTTACCTTTAAACAAGTAAGACCAACTTCCAAACTAAGAAGAGCTTTGTAGTGGGCTGAATGATAACCCTCAAAAGGTCAGTTCATGTAATAACCACCAAGACCTTTATATAAATATGACTCTATTTGAGAAAAGGATCTTTGCAGAGGTAATTAGGTTCAGGACTTCAAGATGAGATCATCCTACATTTTTTTTTTTTACAATTTTCTTGTTTATGTGGTACCAAGGAATTGAACCCAGGGCCTCATGCACGCTAGGAAAGCACTCTACCACTAAGCCACATTCCTAGCCCTCACCCTGAATTTAAGATGGGCCCCCAATTCAATGGCAGGTGATAGTGAATATGCAAATAATGGCCAGACTATAAAAACACAATTCTCAGGGCTGGGAACATGGCTCAGTGGTAGAGTTCCTGCTTTGCATGAAGGAGGCCCTGGGTTCAATTCCTCAGCACCACATAAATAGAAAAAACCGGAAGTGGAGCTGTGGCTCAAGTGGTAGATGCTAGCCTTGAGCTGAAGAGCTCACGGATGGCACACAGACCCAGCGTTCAGGCCCCACAACAGACCAAAAAAAAAAAAAAAACAAAAAAACCAGAATTCTCAATCCATAACCAGAAGCAACTAACCCAGGAAAACAAGTCATTATTTAGAGTAACCAGTCCAGAATTTCAAGTAACAATCTAAGAATCCAAATTAAGTGGCTCGAAATGGCCAGCACCTGACTAGTGACTAGGACATTTTCCCTATTTCTCCCTAACTTCCAACTTGGGACCAACCAGAAAAAAATCAAAAAATCCAATTACATAGGATTCCTTATCCGTACCAGGTAGCCAGTCTTCAGTACTTTTTGGGGGGGAGGTCCGGTCGTGGGGCCTGAACTCTGGGCCTGGGCTCAGACAAGACTCAGACACATAAGAAACAGCATGTGAAGATGGAGGCGGAGTAACCCAAGCCTTGCCTTAGGGCAAGGCTCACTGCAGATCCACCAGAAGATGGAAATCTTCAAAAAATATGGTCATGCCAACACTTCCAACTCCAAATCCAGTCTCTGTAAGTGTAAGAGAACTGTTTAGATTGTTTTAAACATCCAATTTGTGGTAATTTGTTAAGGCAGCCTCAGAAAACCTAACAAAGCTTTTTAACAAAGATATCTGAATCTTTTACAATGTCCTTTTCAATAAGGACATTACTGTAATCTTAGTGTAAGTGTAAACTTAGTGTGTTCAGAGTTTTTGAAAATTCTACTTTTCTCTAAAGATTTCCAAGGAGGCTAGTGTGATGATGGTGCACTCTGTATTTATACAGATACTCATACTGGGAAGTGGCAATGGGAGAATCAAAGTTCAAGGCCGGCCTTAGCTAGAAGCTAGTAAGAGCCCATCAAAAAAACAAGCTGGGTATGGTGGTTCATACCTGTAATCTTAGCTATTCAGAAGACAGAGTAGGAGACGCTTGATTTAAAGTCAGCCTGGGAAAAAGTGCAAGATTTATCTGAAAAAAATTATATATATATGTATATATATATATATATATATATATATATATAAATGTTTTATATAGTACAAGAATGTCAGGATTTCCTAGTGTTCCCCTTTCACAGCCAGTTCCTCAAAGTGTTCTAAGTCCTTATGAGGAAGAAAAATACATAGCCAAATAATTTAAATGAAGAGGTACATCTGATAATTTTGTTCTACCTATTGAATTGCACAATCTTGTGTTTGTTCCAAAACCTGAGTATCAGGCCAGGTGCACTCACTATCTTACTTTAATGACTTAACTAAGCATCATGCAAACCAATGAAACAGAATGGAAATAAATGTGATCTTCTAAAATCTACTTAGTATTTTGGACTCAGTAGAGGTATGTAAGTATAAAAATAGGAATTTTAAACAAAAGGAAAATAAAGCCTAGGGAAATCTTAGCTGATGATTTACCTGACAGATGTAGGCAAGATATATAATGCAGAACTCCCATCAGAAGATCCCATGCAAAGAAAAGACCCTAGACTTTCTCAATAGATTGGCAAGTGGACATTGATTGTTTTAGGCTAAAACAGAATTTAAAACATTATGTTAAACTTATGTCCTGCATACTGTAACATTCATGTTAAAAAGTATATAATTCAATATTTAATCAACTTTTTTAATTCATTGCTTGGATATGGGTCCAGACTACCTATGAGAGAGCCTTGTATATAAACAAAATGCTAAAAGAAACTACTTTGCTTGGTAAGGGGATGGGACTTTAACAAAGGTTGCTTGAGTTTGAATAGTCTTGTAAAGCAGCAGCTAAACAGTCATTTAAAAAGAAGAGTATTCTATTTAGAATCTACAACAAATGTAAAGAATGTAATCGTGTGTCCCACTCGAAGAACAGTATGTGTTTGAAAAGCGTTGAGGGAGGCACTTATTTTTCAAACCTAATTATGCATTTGAATCATCTATCAAAATTAAAACAAGAAACCAAAGTAAAACATGTCTAGGCCTGATTCTGATTCACTATTGAAACCTTCTTGTAGTTCAGATATGATGAAGAATCATCAGAATGGGCTCAGATGAAGTAAGGACATTAGGAAATGAGTCTGGGAGCAGACAGCAAAGGAAATGGTATGCAAATACACTATCACAACTTCCCCAACATCATTTTGAAATTTTTTGTTTTTTACTGTCACTTCTCTTGCACAAAAGAATCAGAACTCTCCCCGTTGTCTATAACAGGAATAAATGTTTTGCATCTACTTTGTAACTAAAAAAATCTTTCTCTGGAGGTCAACATTTAACACAGAACAAGTTCAGGATAGAGGATATCACTCACAGTTCTAAGTGAATGTCTAGTGAAAACACAAGTAAAAAAAAAAAAAAAAACAGTTGACAGAGATACTGAAGAGTAGTTCTATTCTGAGATGGTGTTTTTGGTCCTTGGTCAAGTAGAAACAGGTGTCTATTTACAAGAGCTCTTCTATAGTCCCAGACTCCTGAGATTTTTCTCAGGGGAAACTTCTTCAAAACTTACATATGCAACAACAATAAAGACAGAAAGATCTTTCTTTACCTCATAGGACTTTTCCTTTTCCTTTTTGAAGGTCAGATAACCCTTTCCATATATGGGCATCCCTACCAAATCGCAGCTGCTCAATGGTTTTTAAATAAACATTGTGCCTCTTGGAGGACAGTTAAAGGATGCTTAATGTATCTTTAACACAATTCCAAGAATTAATGCCTTCTGTCTTACTGAGAGCGTGCATTTTCAAAAGGCCGGTGGTACAGCTGAGGGAGTACAGTGGTAGAGTGCCTGTCATGAATACAATCCCAGTACTGCCAAAAAGAAAACTGGGGACACAAGTGCTTTTTTTCTTTCTTGCTATTGTTTCTAACGCATTTATAAGGTACCACATGATATTTTTGTTGCTTTGTATGTCCCTCCCCACGGTATGACACCCTGTTTTCACTGTATTTGATGTTGGTATAATTTGGGGAGGGGAAGGGGAAAAAATTGTTTAAATAGGGATACAGGTGGACCCATTGCAACAATGAGATGTACAAGATGCTATGTTGAAAAACGAACTTTACAGTTTAGGCAGGGGGTGGGAGAGGAGGAGGGAGTGTAGTTGAGGTGGGAGGGCAGGGCTGGTAGAAGAAAAACAAAGGAGGCGGCAACAATGCTTGATAAGAAATGTACTCATTACCTTGCTCATGTAACTATAACCCCTCTGTACAGTATTTCTACAATTAAAAAAAAAAAAAACTTAAAAAACAAGAACAAAAACCCCTGTTGGTCCTGGCCAGGCCTGGTGGTGCGCACTGTAGTTCCAGCTGCATGGGAACCAAAGGTAGGGGAAAGTATGGATCTGGGAAGACCCTGGGGGGGGGGGGGGGGGGTCGGGGAGGCCAGAGGCTTGGCTTAGTGGGAGACTGCCCAACAAGCACAAGGTCCTAAGTTCAAATCCTAGTCTTACCCCTTCCCCCCGCAAAAAAGTGCTGACTGTCAGTAAGAAATGCAAATACAGCATCGACCAAAGGGAAGGGGGAAAGGAGAACCAACCAACTAGCTTCCCGAAACAATCGAACAAAACACAGACACAAAATCCCCCAGGGACAAACCGCGAAGGGCCAACTTGATGGGCAGCGCTGGGTCAGCGAATGCGGGACCACCGCACACAGGCCCAGCAGGCCGGCCCCGGGGGAAGGGGCCGCTTCCCGCCGCCGCCCGCCCCGCGGCGCGCCCCGCCCCCGCCGCCCCTTCCCGGGCCCCCTTCCCGCCCCGCTGACCCGCCGGGTCTGGCCACAGGGGCCTGGGCGGCGCCTACACGGGCACCTCCGGCCTCCACAAGGCCACAAGCTGTGGACGCGAAGCCACGCGGACGCGGAACGGCCAGGACGACAACGCTCGGGCGCACACCGAGAACTCCCCACCACCTCCTGCGCACGCGTACGCATGCGCCTGCGCGTGCACGCGCCTGAGCGTCCAGGCGGCGCGCGTCCGAAGCCCCGCCCACCACAGCCCCGCCCACCGCGAGCTCTCGGGCTCCCTGCGCCGGCGGTAGCGCATTCTGTGGTGGAACTTGTGCGAGCGGACGCGGGCCGGCGTGGGACCTGAGGGGCCGCGGCGAGGTGGGTGGGGCGACGGGCTTCGGGGACTGCGCTCCCGGCTTCCCGGTTTCCGGAAGGCCTGGGCCGGGGGTGGAGGGAGCAGGGAAGGGGGCAGCCGTCGCGCTCGAACCTTAGCCCACACTGGGCGGTGAGGCTGGACGGCGGCGAGTGGTGGGTGGGGCGTCGCCCCCGGGCAGGGTCCCCGCGTGACCCCGGCCGAGCGTGGAAGTTCAGGGCTAACGTGATAGGTCACCCCTGCAGGAGAGGAAGGAAACGACTCCCCGAGGAGATGACATATCATGTAGGTTGACATCCTATAATTAAAAAAGAGAACTTGAGGAGGCTGGGTGTGGTGGTGGTTCATCTGTAATCCCAGTCACTGGAGATACTTGATGATCTTCATCCAGGCTGTCAGCCAGGTAAAATCAGGAGACGCTGAAGAAGTAATGAAAGTGAAAGAGGGGCTGGAGAAAAGGCTCAAGTAATCGATCATAGGATGAAAGAGGCCCAGAGGAGAATGAGAAATAAGCAATAGGGCCAAACCCTGAGTTTAATGCCTAGTAAAGGTGGGATGAAGGTTGATGGGTAGGGATTGAGGGTGTCTGGAAAACAGGATGTGGTCTAAGTCAACAATTCCTTTCCTACTTGAAATCTGTTATAAAGAAAACAAAACAGAAGCTCTTGTTTTGCTGGAAAGATATACCTATACTTATACAAAATAAAAGATGGCTTTGGTGTAATTGTTATGTTTCTCTAATGAGAAATACTGAACTGGTTTTTCTAGGAAGGCTAGATTTGTTTTGCCTACTTTTTAAAAATTAATGCAATTACTTTGTAAGAAAACTGTTATAACTTGTGTTCTTATGCTAATTTTTCTTTGCAGGTAGCTCATTTGACTCTAAGTCTTCTTTTAAAAAGCACAATACTGAAGGATGTCAGAGGCAGTTTTGATTGATCTCTCTGGTTTGAGATTGAATGCTCAGAAAAGCTGCCACCAGACATTATTGAAGACATTAAATGATCTTCAGTACCCTCAGGCTGCCAAGGCCAAGTTCCTATGTGTCATGTGCTGCAGTGACATTGGCTGTAAAAGGGATAGTGAACATGATACTTGTGAATGGGAAACAAATAACAGACTATCAGCTCTCTTGAGAGAATTTGAGATTGTTAGCAATCCCAGCATAGCTGCCTCTTTGTATACCATTAAACAAAAAATTGATGAAAAGAATCTGAGCAGCATTAAGATGATTGTACCTGTGCACAGGAAAACATTAATGAAGGCTTTCATTGATCAACTCTTCACTGAGGTATACAAGTTTGAGTTTGAACATTTTCAGGTACCTGTGAGAGATGGCCTTTTGGAGCATTCCACTGAAAGCAACAAAGATCATGAATTTGAAGAAATCCAGAATGAAATAGAGACATATTTGAGGAGTCTGCCAGCTCTAAAAGGAGAAATAACTATTATCACAGCTCCTTTGATTCCAGGTATATTCAACACTATGTTATTTCTAATGCATACATGAAAATTCAGCCTTTCTTCAGACACTACTCACCTGCTTTTTACCCTTCTTTCTTTAATTGAGTCTTGTGTACTTATTGCTCAGTGTGCCTTGTTCACCATATGAGTGTTGTGGTTACCTTGTGGGTCAGTGTGAATATATGAATTTGATGGCCCCTTCAGAGAGACCCTAAATTAAAAAAAAAATGCTCTATGTGTATTCAGCTAAATTCTCCAACACTCCTTAAAAATGAGGTACATTTCTGACCCTATGTATCTTTTATTTAGAAATTCTGAAACTTCAACTCATTGATACTGTCAGAGAAGAGTAAAATTTATATTAAGTCAACCTGCCTTCTTACTTAAAAAAAACTTTTATGGTGAACTGTGTACTTAATATAATGAAGACAGATAATTAGGAGATTGCCTTTAAAGAGCAATAATCCTATAGGGAAATAGAATAATTAGTGATATATAATAACATATGGAGTTACAAAGTGCTGTCAGATAAATAAGTAAATGTTGATGTGACCAGGGTAGGTCTAAAAGAGAGACTAGCTTTTGTAATGCTGTCCAGTCTTCTGTAAAACACATTTTTAATCTTTACTATTTATCCTCAACAGATATTTTCATACATGGATTTACTACAAGAACAGGTGGTATATCTTATATACCAACTCTTAGCTCATGCAATCTCTTCAGTAGTTCCAAACGGAAAGACCCCAAGATAGTTGTTCATGAAAACCTACGTAGACTGGCAACTGCTGCAGGATTTAATGCAGAGAAATTTTACCACATAAAGGTAAAATTTTATTTCATCTTTGGAAGTTTTAAAGTATATGAGTGTTTTAGTAACTACATGGACTTTAAACTATTTAACTTTTGCATTTGGTATTTCATCTAACATTCTAGGATAATGTTATTGTCTTTATTCAATTTATACACCATTGCCTAAAGAGCAATTCCCTGTGTGTGTCTAAATATGCATGTGTGTCCACAGATATAGATGCACACAAATATTTTTCACCTGGAGATTCTCAATTGTAAAAATATGATTAATTCTCAGAAAATGTTGTATTACTGCCCTTTTTGATATAAAAGAGGGTCTCTGGGCTGGGAAGGTAGCTTAGTGGTAGAGTGCTTGCCTTGCATACATGAGGCCCTGGGTTCGATTGCTCAGCACCACATAAGCAGAAAAATCTGGAAGTAGCACTATGGCTCAAATGGTAGAGTGTTGTGCTAGCCTTGAGCTGAAGAGCTGATGGACAACACCCAAGCCCAGAGTTCAGGTCCCACGACCAACAAAAAAAAAAAAAATCAAAGAAAGTAAAATTTATATTTTATAAGAAGTGCAGCAAATAAAAATTTGCCCATCTCTGGTGAAAGGTGTTCATGATGGGGTGTATTGAATTTTTAAGTATTTTTTCCTCTGAACAAAGTATGTAAAAACATTGCTTTGGCATTTTATTATGTATAGAAGTGATGTATTCATTCAGGTCTACAATTCTTGATACTGTTGCATATTCAATGCTGAAATGAATACTTAAATGAAAGCTTAAATGTAAGAGATTTTATTTTCAAAACATTTTTATCCCGCATCTTTGATATTAGACTGATCATGCCAATGAAGTCTGGATTATGGGAAAGAAGGAGCCTGACTCTTACGATGGAATAACCACAAATCAGAGAGGAGTCACAGTAGCAGCACTTGGTGCAGACTGCATACCTATAGTGTTTGCAGATCCGGTGAAGAAAGCATGTGGGGTTGCTCATTCTGGTAAGTATTATTTAATTGACCATTTATAATTTTACTAATTCTCTAGTATAGGAAAAATGGTTCTTTTCTGGTGGGTATGACAAGTAGATACATTACTTGTGATGTGGTTGGGCCTGTATATGCATTTTAGGAACAGAGTGAAAATGTATCTGAAGTCAAATTATATGAATCATGGAATTCCTTAACTGAATGGTATCTAAAGAAGTGGTAAGTACTTGGAATATTTAGCTTTTAATGCTAAATTAGTGTTTCTACCCAAGGATACTATTAACATTTTGGGGAAGATAATCCTACAGTACAGATAGAGTATTTTGGCCCTTGAAATCCATCCCCCACCCCCACACACACATACACTTTGGCAAGCAACACTGGGATTTGAACTCAGTACTACATACTTGCTAGGCAGGCTATCTACTCTAAGCCACTCCTCCAGCCCATTTTTGCACTGGTTATTATTTTTTTTGCGGGGAGGGGGAGGGGAGGGGGAGGTCCGGTAGTGGGGCTTGAACTCTGGGCCTGGGCGCTGTCCCTCAGCTCTTCAGCTCAAGGCTAGCGCTCTACCACCATAGCACCATTTCCGGCTTTTTTCTTTTTGCTTATGTGGTACTGAGGAATCAAACCCGGGGCCTCAGGCATGCAAAGCAAGCGCTGTACTACTGAGCCACCTTCCCAGCCCTGGTTATTTTTTTAAATAGGATCATGATCCTGCCAATACCTGGATCATGATCTGCCAATTTTGGATTTCCTGTTGTACGTAGGATGACAGGCATGTATAGCCATACCCAGCATCTTTACTGAAATGTTTTCTGGACTTTTCTGCATAGGCCAGACTTGAACTATCATCCTCCTGTTCTCAGCCTCCCAAGTACCTAAGATTAGATATGTGAATCACCAGCACTCAGCTGGCTCTTCAAATTCTTTTTTTTTTTTAATTGTGAAAATACTGTACAGAGGGGTTACAATTACATGGGCAAGATAATGAGTGCATTTGTTATCAAGCATTGTAGCCTCCTCCTTTGTTTCCCTTTCCCATCCCTTCCCATCCTCCCCCCCTCAAATTCTTAATGTAAATAGTATCCCTCAAACATTGTAATAATCAAACAACAACTATTAATACTTTCTTGAAACATTCTCTTGGAGTTTGGTACTGAGAACCCTTGAGGTCCCAACACCAAAAAAGAGGAATGTTAGATATATTGTAATAAGAACTTCATATAGATAGAGCAAATAAATAAATGATGTGAGTTTAGGAAAGCAAGAAAAGTTTGAAAAAACATATCTAGTTGAAATAACTAAATGTATTTATTTCTAACTACTAGCTGAAGGTAAGTGCAAAGCATTTTTTTTTTTTTTGGGGGGGTCTGGTCATGGGGCCTGAACTCAGGGCCTGGGCGCTGTCCCTCAGCTCTTCAGCTCAAGGCTAGCACTCTACCACTTGAGCCACAGCACCACTTCTGGCTTTTTTTCTTTTTGCTTATGTGGTGCTGGGGAATCGAACCCAGGGCCTCAGGCATGCAAGGCAAGCGCTCTACCACTGAGCCACCTTCCCAGCCCCCGTGCAAAGCATTTTTAGATGGCATAATGTGTTAAAGTTACTGAATTTTGTTTTCCAAAGGTAGATTATAATAGTACTTAGATTATCCAGTGATTATGATTCTGTGCACAATAAGAGATCATTTCTTGAATTTCCTTTGACTTGTAAATCATGACTACTTTTTTTTTTTGCCAGTACTGGGGTTTGAACTCAGGACCTTGAGCTCTGTGAGGCTGGATTTGAACCATAATCCTCTGATCTCAGCCTCCTGAGTAGCTAGGATTACAGGTTTGAGCCACTAACACCCAATTTACTACTTTGCTTTTTAGACCATACATTAAAAAAAAAGAAAGTGCTATATTTTTATTTTGACCTAGCTAAAGTAATGGAATTGGATAGTAAGTCAGGTTTACTGTTAAAAGTAATTTAAAACTTGAATATGAGTTCCTAGATATAGAAATCATTTTTTTATTTCTTAGGTTTGAAAATATGTAGTTTTAAGATGTCCAAGTTTAAATAGTTGAAGTGTTATATGTTAACTTTTGAGTCATTAATAAATTAATTTGGAGGCTGGGAAGGTGGCTCAACGGTTCTTGCCTCGCATGCATGAGGCCCTGGGCCAGTTCCTCGGCACCACATAAACAAAAAGTCAGAAGTGGCTCTGTGGCTCAGGTGTAGAGCTCTAGCCTTGAGCTAAAGAGCTGAGGGACAGTGCCCAGGCCCAGAGTTCAAGCCCCACAACCAACAAAAAAAAAAAAAATCAATTTTGAAATAGAGTACAATTATATTCAATATATACCTTATTAAAAGCAGATATCAGGAAGTATAAAATCCTTCTTTGGGATTAATTTGATAACAATCTTTTAAGCTAAATATGTATATTTACATATACACATACTGTAGGAAAATAATTAGATAGACAGGAAATGGATGAATTATAAAACAGAGGATAATTAAAGAAGGTTTCCAAGAAAAAAAACTTAAATGTGTATGTGGAAAAGTCTAGACAGAATCTTTTTACTTCAAAATGCCTATGTCTAGTTGCTTTCCTCAGAAAATCACTGCAGATTCTTCAGAATCATCATGTTAAAAACACATTGTTTTTCTTACACTTTTCTACCACATATATTTCCTATTTTACTTGAGATCCCATTTACTTATAGACTCAGCTTAAAAAGCTTGATATTTCATTTGGTTTATTTTCCCATAACTATAGATCCAGTGTGTTGCCAGTCAAATGTAAAACTATCTTCTAAGTATTTCTTGCTTCCATCATCTCTTCCCTTGCAAAAATTGATCTCTTCACCCGATGCTTTGCATTACATGGACTTATATGGATAATCTTAGAACTCCATGGGATGCAATGAAGGAGAAGAGCAGTAAAACCAGCAAGGGGATGATAGTCTTGGAAGTGAGAAGTGTGTGCGTATGTGAGTGTGAGTGTGAGTGTGTGTATGTGAGTAAGAGAGAAAGCGAAACAGAGAGAAGGGACTAGTTATTGGAAATGAATTTATTTTAGGTTAAAAAGTGAGGAAATTTTTTTCAAAAAATTATAAAACACTGCTGAAAGAAATTGAAAAAACAAATAGGAAGAAATACTATGTTCATAGTTTGACTTAATGCTATTTAATATTATTAAAATGTCAATATTACCCTCAAATTATGCACAGATTTAATGCAGTCTTTATGAGATCCCAGAGGCATTTTGCACGGAAACAAATCCATTCTAAAATACTTATGTAAAATATTTAATCTCAAGGAACCCTGAATAGTTATAGCAATCTTGAAAAAGAGTGAAGTTGAATGTTTCATGCTTTCTGATTTAAAAAACTTATGAAGCTATAGTAACCAAAACAGTCCGATACTAGAATGAAGATATACAACTAAACTAGTGAAAAAGAACAGAAAGCCCTCCCTATCTTCTCTCCCCCAAATCCTGCGGTATGATCAAATGCTTTTAAAAGGGTACAAAACCACCAGGTGCTGTTGACTCATGCTTGTAGTCCTAGCTACTCAGGAGATTAAGATCTTGAAGTCAGCCCAGGCAGGATAGGTCATGAGACTTTTATCTCCAACGAACCAGTAAAAAGCCAGAAGTAGAACTGTGGCTCAAGTGGTAGAGTACTAGCTTTGAGCCAAAAAGCTCAAGGATAGTGCCCAAACCCTAAGTTCAAGCCCCACGATTGGCACACACACACACAAAAAGGGGTACCAAACCCCTTTTTGGAAAGGATAATCTTTTCAACAAATAATGCTGGGAAAATTCATCTTGGGCCTTTCCCTTATATCATATTCAAAAGTTAAATCAAAATGGGTTGAAGACATAAATGTAAAATTGTAATATTGGGTTAGGCAGTTGTGGGTATAGTACAGAGCCTTGAACTCAGAGGTCTGGAACACTCACTTAGTTTGCTTACTTATGGCTAGTGCTCTACCACTGGAGCCATGCCTCCAGGTCCAGTTGGTTACTTTGGAGATGGGATCTCCCAGACTCTTTTACTTAGGCTGACTTCAAACCTTAATCTTCCAGATCTCAGCTTTCTAGTATCTAGCATTACAGGCATGTCACCAGCACTTGGCTAAGAAATGGTTTGTTTTTGGTTTTTCTTTTTAGATGTTTGAACACAAGAAATAAATGTAAAAATGGATCTTTTGGACTTCATCAAAATTTAAGATGTCTGTATCAAAGGACACAACAGACTGGAAAGGCAACTCATAGAATGAAAAAGGATATTTGCAAATCCCATTAGGTGTTAATATCCAGATTAAGGAATTCCTACAACCCTATAATAAAACAAGTAGATCAAAAATGGACAAGGAAATAGATATTTTTCTAAGGGTGATATACAAATGGCCAACAAACATATAAAAAGTTATTCAACATTGTTCATAATTAGGGAAATGCAAATTATCTCACATCTATTAGGACAACTAATAAATTTGAAAAATAACAAGTATTAAGGATATGAGAATTATGAACCCTATGTACTATTAATTGGAATATAAAATGATGCAGCTCCTATCAAAGCAGTATGGAACTTCCTCAAGTATTTGAAAAATAGGCAGAGTTCAGTGGCTAAAACCTGTAATGCTTGGGGCTGGAAAGGTAGCTCAGCGGTAGAGTACATGCTTTGCAAACATGAGGCCCTGGGTTCGATTCCTCAGTACCACATAAACAGAAAAAGCTGGAAGTGGCACTGTGGCTCCAATGGTAGAGCGCAAGCCTTGAGCTGAAGAGCTGAGGAACAGCACCCAGACCCAGAGTTCAGGCCTCATGACCGGCAAAAAAAACAAAAACAAAAAAAAAAACAAACCTGTAATGCTTGCTTATTCAGAGGAGAGAATAAGAGGATTGTGGTTCAAGTTCAAGGCCAGCCCAGGAAAAAAATTCATGAGATCCCATTTCAATAAGAAAAGCTGGATGTGGTGGTGTGTGCCTGTCATCACAGCTAAGCAGGAAGTACAACTAGGAAGATTGAGGTGACTCTATTCAAGACATAGCTAGAGCCAAAAAGACTGAGGATATATGTATCTCAAGTGGTAGAGTGCCTGCTGTCAAGTGTAAAGCTCTGAGTTCAAACCCACATACCGCAAAAAAGAAATTTTAATAGAATTACAATCCAACAATTTTAATTCTGGATATATATCCAAAATAATTTAAAATGGAATCCATGAGAGATGTTTGTACACTTACATGTGTAACAGCTTTGTTAACAATATCTAAGAACTGCAAGTTAAGTACAATGGTAGATAAGTGGATTAGCAAGACATGCATATATATATATATATATATATATATATATATATACACACAATGGTATATTATTTGGTCTTAAAAAGGCAGGAAATTGTGACACATTCTACAACATGAGGAACCTTGAGAACAGTATGTTAAATAAGCCATTCACAAAAGACTACCAGTATACGAATCTACCATATGAAGTAATACAGTAATCAAATGTCTTAGAAAACAAAAGGGAAAGGGAGAATTGAAGACTTTTTTTTTTAAATGGGTCTAGAATTTCATATTTACAAGTTGAAAAGGTTTTTAAAAATTGGTTGCAGAATAATGTCAATCAAGTTTAATACTGAACTACACACTTAACATGGTTAAAATGGCATATTTTGTGGGTTTTTTTTAACCATATGGGAAAAAGAAAACTAAAAAGATGGGAATTGCATGGGGTAAAAAAAAACTAAAAAGATACAAGTCCTGTAAAAGTAGATCATATGGAACATTTTCAAAAGGAAATGTAAAGGAACAACCACTAAATGTTTATTCTATGTTAGATACATTATATAATGCTTCTCAGTTACTACATTAGAGTATTGGTATTGCACTATAATTAATGTTGTGATTCATTTAATATTTCTGGACTTTGGAAAGTGCCCACATTGAATCTGTTCTTTTTTAGCTCAGACATAAATTCACTTGAGGTCATGTCTTAATTTTTCTTATCTCTTTTTCTTCCTTTGCCAGGCTGGAAAGGCACCTTGTTAGGTGTTGCTATGGCTACAGTGAATGCCATGAGAGCAGAATACGGCTGTCTGTTGGAAGACATTATTGTTGTACTGGGACCTTGTGTAGGACCTTGCTGCTTCACTCTTCCCAGGAAAGCTGCAAATGCATTTCATAATCTTCATCCTTCTTGTGTACGTCTATTGGACTCACCAAATCCCTACATTGATATTCGTAGAGCCTCCAGGTATGCTTGATTTCATTGTAGAATTGTAAGCTTGATTGTTGATTATTGCTGCTAAAATGAAAACTACTTTAGGGAACCATTAGTAACTCCTATGACAGTTCAGGTAACAAATATTCAAGTACCTGAAATACACATACAAAATAAAACTCATTGTAGATTATGAAATCTATTCGAATTATGTTCAAGTAACAATTTCTTGTCAGGTTATCTCTTACTTATTTAAAAGTGAAGGAAGAAACAGTTATCCTTTAAAGAGAACTGCGCATAAATTTCATGTAGAATAGCAAGCATAAACTTTACTTCGTTTCCTTTGGTAAATTGTATGAAATACATTAACTAACAGAAGCTGATATTTTTAAAGTATTCTCATTCCCTAACTAATATATTAGCAAAAATAATAGATAATATAAAATGCATAGCCACTCTCAAGTTTTATTTGGTATTACACATTTTGAATTTATGAAATTTGCTTTTAATATCTATGGAAAATTTGTCATTTCTACAAAGAAAGTTGATGTCTAATTTAACTCATGTTTCTATTTCTGTCAGCAAAACCATACCCAGATTCTTAGTCATTTAATACATAAGTATAAAGGATCCAAATTGATTCTTATATGTGACCTGTAGAATAAGTATTACTAACTTTTACTCATCTTTTTTATTATGTTACAAACTGTTTGTGAGGAGACAAATTTTTCTTTGAAAAAATAAAGTTGATAGAAGAAAAGGAGATGGGAAGGGTAGATGATTAAAAAACATAATAAGGCTGGGAAAGTGGCTCAGTGGTAGAGTGCTTGCCTTGCATGCATGAGGCCCTGGGTTCGATTCCTCAGCACCACATAACCAGAAAAAGCCAGAAGTGGCGCTGTAGCTCAAATATGGTAGAGCACCAGCTGAAGAGCTGAGGGACAGTGCCCAGGCCCAGAGTTCAGGCCCCACAACCAACAAAAACAAAACAAAACAACAACAACAAAAAACAAAACCCATAGTGTATATATGAACCAAATCCATCTTGTCTACAAAGACCCTGGTAACTTAAATTTTTTATGAATATACACTTGATTTTGATCATAAATTTCTGTGCCCATATCATGTTTACCAGGCAATATGAAAATTCGTGTAGTTCATATTTGAACTTAGGTGCTGAATGGTGAAAAAAAATCAACTATTTCCTGACTGGTTCCTGTTGTGTAAATAAACAATTTGCACTTTCCCAAGCAACTTTTTCTTGAAACTCTGACACTAGTAGCTATCTATATGTTCTTCCTGTTGCATTGGATATTGGTAAAATGAACTCTTACGTCTTTGAAAAATCTTTATCCCAAGGATTCTTCTAGAACGAGGAGGAATTCATCCACACAACATTCAGGATAAGAGTCAAGATCTTGGCCTTTGTACATCATGCAATCCTGACAAGTTTTTCTCCCATGTTCGAGATGGCCTTAACTTTGGTACACAGATTGGCTTCATATCAATTAGAGAATGAGGTATAGTAGGTGTCCCCTTCCTAATCTTGCTCTAATTGATGTCTTTTCCTTTCTCTGTCTCTCTCCATTTTGATCTCCCTTTTATCAGTTTTATTTTATTTTATTTTTTTATTTTTTTAAGATAGGATTTTAGGGCTGACCTAGAAGTTGGTAAACTTAACCTTTCTTTGTCCAGTACTCTACTACTATTAAAATTAAATTTTAGTTATAGAAACTGTTTATCTCCTCCACTGCATTAGACTCAAAGAAGAAAAAAATCTTAGTTTGATTCATCTGTGCTTAACATGTAGTGCCTGACAAATAGGATATTCAGTAAGTAATAAACTGAACAGATACATTCCTGATTTTCCTATATAATGATGAATAATCGGGCAGACTTACCTAAAAGTATAAACATAAAGTAATTTACTCCTCTAAAATCCTCTGTGTATATCCTTTATCTCTGTACTTTTCTTAACATCATTTTCCCCTCTGGTATTGGGGTTGCAAGCCTAACACTTGCTAAGCAGGCATTGTACCACTTGAGTCCTATACCCTTTAGTTATGTTTGGGATAAGGTTTTACATTTATACCTGACCTGGACTATATTTCTTCTGTTTATACTTTTAACATAGCTGGAACAACAGGTATGCACCACCATGTCCAGCTTTTATTGAATGAGATGGGGTCTTACGAATTTTTTACCTGAGCTTAACCACAAACTACAATCGTTTTATCTCCCATTCCCAAGAAGCTAAGATTTCAGGAGTATATCACTATACTTGGCCTCATAACATCTTTATATCATTCATATTTTTAATTTTAGAGGAAAAAATCTTTGCATCAAAATTCTAAGTTCTAGAATAGGGAATTCACAATTATATAGACTGACTTGGTTTTCAACTAGATTTCCAACTGCTAGCTGTAGTGCAGCTTTCCAGTTGTTTCTTGAGAGCTTGTTTGGAAATTCTGTTGGAGGAGCACAGCTACTTGTTTACCCTTGACCAAGGATGATTCTCTGTCAGAGAAGGCTATCTCCACAAAGCATGTGGCTTCAGGAGAGTCATCCATGGAACAGGAGGAAGGAGACACCTGCCTAGACAACCAGATCATCCCAGTCACCCCTGGCAGTCAGCAGGCTGACGAATGTCACCACCAGACTGCCTTCCCATCCCAGTTGTTTTCTTTAAAGAGACATAGAGTAAACGTTTTATGTTTTATGGGACACAATATCTGTCTCAACTACTCTACTTTGCCATTATAGGGCAAGAGTAGCCATGACAGTACAAAAATAAGTGAGTATGTCTGTGTTCCAAGTAAACTATTCACAAAAGAAAGGAAAGTTTCTTTAGAGCTATACAGAAATATTGCGTGACTGTGACTGAGTACTGATCCTTTAGTGTATAATCAACTTTCCCTAAGGATCCTTTTAACTGAATTAGTGTTTTTAGTCTTTACACTGTATTTAACTCTTTAATATAAAAAAAAAAACTTTAAAATAGATTTCACAGTTCATCTTAATATGTTTCTGTGTGCCAATCCTGGGGCTTGAACTCAGGGACTAGATGCTGTCCCTGAGTTTTTCTTCTCAAGGCTAGTGCTCTACAACTTAAACCACAGCTCCACTTCTGTTTTTTGGTACTTAAGGAAGTAAGAGTCTTGTGGACTTTCCTGCCAAGGCTCGCTTCAATCACTAATCCTCAGATCTCAGTCTGTGACTAGGATTATAAGTGTGAGCCACCATTGCCCACCTCTTACCTTAATACTTTAGTTACACTAATTTGGGTCTCATGTTGATCTTCATTCCTTTTTTCAGGTACTGGACTGGATTTTTACATAACTACTTCTTGACTTCTTCCAAGTTGACTGCAAAACAGAATGTTCACTGATTGATTTATTGCCATGGAGAATACATCTTTAAGAGTATATTTTCACTATTATCTAACACCAAATATCTTCATTTAATTCTAATGACAGAAGATTCAGTATGATGTTTTACAGATGAAGATTATTCTTAGAGCTTGTTTCTTCTATCTGTGCCTTCAATCAGAAACGGGTCTTTTCAATTCAGTACTTATTGCCTACCCTCATTTTCATGTACTAGCTTACGCAGATGTGATTCAAAATGAGTAAGATTTTTTTTCCTTTCAGTCTAATGCAGTGAAAGAGAAAAAAAACACTTTCTACAACTAAAATTTAATTATAATAGTAGAATAATATGAGTAGTAGAGGCTTAACTTTACCCAGAAGGCAGGATAAAGTATTACAGAGAACATGACATATGCCATGTGCCACAAAAATATGCAGTTTTTTGACAGATGGCAACCAGCCATAACACTGTAAACCAGGACATGCAACTGAAAAGTCCATAGTGAATCCTAGAACAAAGGGAGGAGAGGAGTAGGAACTAGACAACATGGGAATAGATTAATATAGATCTCAAGTGCTTTGTCTGATAGTTTGGAATCTATTTTCCTGGAAATGAGTAGGCATCAGAAGTAGAGGCTAACAGGATAGAATCAGACTGTGAGAGTCCAAGTTTAGGTCAGAGATGGTCAAAATATTTCAAAAAAGAAACCAGGCACCAGTGGCTCATACCTCTAATCCCAGCTACTTGGGAGTCAGAGATCAGGAAGATTTCAGTCTAAGGCAAGGCAGAAAGTTCAGGAGACTACATCTTCTGTAGATGGGGACAGTGGTGCATGCCTGTCAGCTGCACAGAAGCCTGAGATCCGGAGATTGTTGTTCCAGACTTTCCCAAGCAGAAAAGTTTGCAAGACCCCTCTCAGCAGAAAAAGCTAGGCACAATGGTGCCTTTCATCACAGCTACTGCAAATATATAAATAGGATTATGGTCCAAGCTGCCTAGGCAAAAAACAAGAGCCTATCTCAAAAATAACCAGTGTAAAAAGTTCTGACAGTGAGGCTTAGATAGTAGAGCACTTACCTCGTCAGCACAACCTGAGTTTAGACTTTAATATATATAATTTCAACAAAGAAATAATGAAGTGTCATTGAGCTACTAAAAATTGGAGAAGAGAGTACATGTATTAGACTTTTCATGGGTGGGATAAATAAATCCTGTGCATAGGTCATGGAAGAGAGAGGTAAGGAAGAGTGGAGAAATCCAAAAAGAGTGAGGACTCCAAAATTTCTTCAGCTACCAAGAGTGGCAACAGGTGTTTTGGATAAGAGAGAAGGATAATAAATTTCCCTTTACACAGAACAAAAAGCATTCAGGTTGAAATATTTGGCCTTCAATTAAAATTATAGATGCAAAACTTGGAAGTCTAGGCCAAAGATGTAAGTTTAAGAGTCTGCTCTGGTTTTTTAGAAAAGATTGAGTAATATGGGCAAAAATTCTGGTGAGTAAAAAGGAAGTCCAAAGATGGGACCATACACAACCTGTACATTTGAAGAATAAGCTGAACCAGTAAAAAGGTAAATTGATCATAGCAATAAGAAAAACAAAGCCAGACCTAGGTTGCTTGTGCCTGTAATCCTTGATATGAGATGTGAGGATCTCAGGTCAAAAACAGCTGGGCAGAAAAGTCCTTTCTCCAGTTTATCAGCAAAAATGCTGGGCTTGAGGTATGGGTCAAGTGTTAGAGCACCAGTTTATATAATAAAGTGAGGCCCCAATTTCAAGCCCCAGCACAAAAAAGAAAAGAAAAAAGGAAGGAAGGAGCAAAGGAAAGATGAAAAATTGCATAGAAGCTAGCACACATGTACAAAATACTCAAAAGGAAATCTTCAGGGATCAAATAAAGAATTCAGATGATCATTTGTACTAACCCTGTTCTACAGCCAATGGTGGCAGTCATATTTCAGAGCATCAAGACAATGAACAGGTGTTGGCTTTTTGATGGTATTTTCTTGAGTGTGAGGTAGTGATTTTTTTTTTACTTTGGATGAGAGTTTTCATGTATTTTCTGTAGGTTAAAGAGAAAAAAATGTCAAGCTACATTTAACTTGGGAAATGTATAATTTTAATGAAAGTTGTCACATTGTATCTTAAGTTTTTTTTATACATGTATTTCCTACATGCATATGCAGTATACATTTGCTTGGTGCTTGCAAAGACCTTGGAAATATGCTATCTCAAGTTAACCTTTACAGCTGCTATGAAATATAAAACATCAGGTGTTCCCTTTTATTCAAATGAAAAACAGCCTCATTGAGGTAGAGTTCAAAATTGCATAATACGTGATGATGATATGACTTTGAACACACATTTTATAAGATTTTCCAGTAATCAAAGCTCTCTAAGTTTTGTTTTCAACTTTTGCTGATATCATTTATTCATGCATTCAGTCAAGTTTTGTTCAGGTACTAGGATAGGTCATAGTTCTCAACATGTTTAATAGTCTGTGCAAAGTGATAGTGCATAAACCAGTACTGTGATGTGTGGTGGGTTTCCATAGGTTGGCTCTTTAGTTTAATTCTTCTATTCACTCTGTAATCTGATGTGAAATTTAAATAAAATACCTCATTGCTCCTAGTTTAGGAAAGACATTAAACACAAAGGATAAGAGAGAAATTCCAAACTCATGTAAAAGAATCTTAAGTGTCTAACAACAAAGATTAAGGAATAAATTCAATATTTAGAACAGCTGATAATTTCTTAACTCTTCACTGTGCAATAATTTGTTTGAAGTTTGTAAGTTTATATAGAGTACTAGCCAGCCATATTGCACTCTGTGTACTGAAACATTCCAAAACCAAATAAAAACTATTATTTGTTAACTGTGATTTGGGGACCACCTGTACCAAAGCATATAATGCTGTTATTACTGAGTGAGAAGTATGAATTCACTAACTCAAAATCAGAACTATTCAGTTGTTAAATAATCATATCTTATTGCCTCTACAAGATCCTTGTCATTTCTAAGCGGTTGTTTATAGGTCTCTTGGAATTTTAGGGTACAAAGCAATGATAACTTCTAGTAAATGAAGTTTTGTTTGTAACTAACTGCTATTGGTATTGCACATTGATAATACAGTTTGACATCTACTAACAAGAGGGATTATGCTTATAAATCAAGTTCATGGTTTGACTTTTATGAAAATGCTGATTATCAAACTAAAGTTTAGTAATATGGCATTTGTCCTCTTGTCTAAATGTGATTTTAAAGTGTAAAGAATGGCATTGTTACCAAATATTCTATACTACATAAATGGTCATACCACTAAAGGCAGTATTTTTACAAGTAGTTCTGACATATCTGGAAATAAAGTTTGAACCAGTTTTAATCTGTTATTTACTTGTGCAAAAAAAAAAGTATTTAAATTAGTGACAGTATTGCTCTTAGAGTACAGTGTTTTTTAGTACAAGTAGATAAAAGCATTAAGGGACCCTTAGCCACCTCAAAGCTAACTGAAGAATTGCTAGTAAACACTTATTTCTATGTGTACGATTTTTATAGGAAAACACAGAGAAGCTCATACTGTGTCACGTGACAAAACATAACATCCATAAGCTGGAAACTATGACTATAGTACACATGTCAAAGTAGGATTGACCTTTTTTATCACTTGGTTGTCCTAATTTTATGCTTACATTATACTCAACGTTTGTGTGAACGCTTAGCAAATCCTGCCAACCTACTGAAGTTCTGCACTTTAAAGAAACCTGCTAAAGGAGGAGGTAACAATGCTTGATAGGAAATGTATTCATTACCTTACTCATGTAACTGTAACCCCTCTGTACATTATTTTTACAATAATAAAATATATTTAAAATAATAAAGAAACCTGCTCAGTTATCTGTACTTTTTTTCTGTATATGTTTGATTTTTTTGTGCAAGGTCAATGGCAAGAAAGAAATATATATGTGATAAATATATTTAGCCTCTTTGCCTTACCTAAAGTTAGTTCACATATAGAAACACATTGGGGACAGTAGAATCATAGAATTCTCTATGATTTATAAAAGCAAATTGTGTAGTAAAGGATGATATGTATATTCAGTGTTTGTTGGAACACTGATCAGGCCACATACTTCCCAGTACAGGCAGTGATTCTAAACTTGTGATTTCGAAGATGAGGCAGCCATAAGCAGTACATTGTTGTGTATGAGGTTATTCTGATCAGTAAAGGAAAAAGAAACATTCTGTTACAGCATATTCCAGATTAACACATTTAGCATGAACTCGTGCTAAATGAGTTTTAACACCATTGAAAGTAATGACATTCTCCTTAGATGTATTTTCTTTGCTGACAAATAACATTCCCCATGTCTGTAACAAATGCCTGAACTATGTTCTTTGAGTCACAAGTAGATGCATTTGTTTTATTGAATTCTCAGAGGCTTAGGTGTCTGTTTTCTATATATTAATCAAAATGTAAAGCAGATAATAGCTCAAAATAGCACATTCTTTTCTACCACCTCCACCCCCCCCCCCCCGCCGAAATGAGCACTCTTATTTCATGAGAAACATTTTTAGAAAATAGTTTTACTGATGGTGACAATTTTTAGTATCCTCATGTTCTATTTTTTTAGTTCTAGCATCTCATTCTCACTTGGCTCTTCCACTCATAGCTCATGATCTATCCCTTGAGCCATTCCTTCACTTTGGTTTTTTTGCTAGTTAATAGGAAAGAAGAGTCTTGTCTTCCTAGCCTGACTTTGAACTGTGATCCTAAGATCTCCGACTCCTGGGTAACTAGAATTAAGAAGTGAGTCACTAGTGCCTCACTTCATTGTCTTAACACTTAAACTCTTGCTTCAGATGCCATCTTACCATGCTTCCCCATTCCTTTCTGTTTCTTCATCATAAGCCTAAAAGTTACATCCATATCTCCTCATTCATTTTTCATATTTGATATTTATGTTCACAAGATATTCCTTCTTTTGAGTTTCCTACTTTTAAATACATGTCAGACATGGCAATAAAATAGCTTGTTATACATATTCTATGGCCCACAGAGTATTCTATCCTTCAAACTTAACCCATCATCTTCCCTCAAAAACCTAACTTCATTGAGTGTTCTGCCTCAGAGAGGAAACTACTATTCCTAGTTCATCCAGAAGCACTGGAGTGTTCTAAATACCTCCCTTTCCTTTTCTACTTCCCTTCCCACACCACTGGCTCCATCTGTCTTATCTGTTCCCATGTCCCTGTCTCAAGTGCTACAGAAATTCAGGTCATCTTCCCTTATTTGAGACCCCGAGCTGCCTTCTTAACTAGTAATTTCTTATTGAATCCCTTCTTATACTGCCATTATTACTTATTTTAAAATCTGATCACAATACATCCCATGAGATAATTTTATGGCTTTCCCATCACCTCTTTCAACACCCCTGCTTATTTCTGTTTCCACTACTCCCTACTCTATATCATAGATGTAGCCATTCTGTAATTTTTGTTTCCTAGAATATGCCAGGAAGCTATTCCAGACAAAGAGGTTGTTTGCATTCAAAGACTGATGAGTACTCATACTTTGTTCAAGATTCCTTTCACTTAGGTTTTCTACCATTCACAATAACCAAGTTATGAAATCAGCCTAGGTGCCCAACAACTGGTTATTGAATAAACAAAGCATAGTACATATATACAATGGAATATTATCCAACCATAAATGAGAATGTAATTACATCATTTTCAAGAAAATAAAACTGAAGATCATCATATTAAGCAAGATGATACAAGAACAGTAAGTCAAGTATGTTTTTGCTCATTTGCAGAATCAGACCTAAAAAATAATGTGATTGTAAAATAGGACCTATAGCAGGAGTAGTGGATGGGATAGAGAAAAAGGAGAGGTGGGAGAGAGGATTAGAGAAGTGTAGTATGAATATATATGCAATTACACAATGAAATCACACAAAACTCAAATTGCA